GACCCTCAAAAGTCTGCTTTTGAGGCTGTCAAACAAGCAATAATTTCTCCACCCACTTTATCGTGTCCGGATTTCGAAAAACCTTTCGTGTTGCAGACGGATGCTAGCTCGGTCGGTTTAGGCGCGGTTTTAACTCAGCAAATAGAGGGAAGCGAACATGTGATCGCGTTCGCGAGTAGGGCGTTGTCTGAGGCTGAGAAGAAGTATTCCACGACGGAACAAGAGTGTTTAGCGGTAGTGTGGGCTATCAAAAAGTTTCGGCCATACTTGGAGGGCTATTACTTTACCGTGATCACAGATCATAGCTCTCTCCGGTGGCTACATAATTTGAAAAATCCCACCGGCCGTTTAGCTCGATGGGCGCTCGAACTGTTGGAATATGATTTTCGTATCGAACACCGGAAAGGAGCGTTACATCATGTTCCCGACGCGTTATCACGTATGTTCGAGACGTCCGAGCAGGCCCTCGCAGTAAATGCGGAAGGTGACAAATGGTACACTAGACGGCTCCGTCAGGTTCAGGATACGCCGAATAGATTTCCGAATTGGAAGATCGTTGACGGGAATTTATATGTCAGCCGTCCACATAAAGTGACGGGACAAGTAGTCGAGGATCTAGATCGGTTTAAACTTGTCGTACCGGAAAATTCCCGTGCCGAAATTTTGCGAGAAACGCACAATACTCCTCAGGCCGGCCATCTCGGTATTGAAAAGACCTATCAGCGCGTTGCGTTGCGTTATTTTTGGCTGCGCATGTTCCGAGATGTGGCGCGCTACGTGCGGAGGTGTGACACCTGTCAACGCACCAAGGTGGAACAGAACGTTCCCGCCGGATTAATGGGACATCGTGTGACCGATCGACCGTGAGTTAGAGTCGCCGCGGACATCATGGGCCCCTTTCCGCCCAGTAAAAGCGGGCACGCGTACGTCCTTGTGATGCAGGACGTATTTTCTAAGCGGATTGAGTGTCGTCCCCTGCGTAAGGCAAATGGTAAAAATATTTGTGAAGCTCTTGAGGAACTAATTATCTTTCGGTGGGGTGCGCCGCATATTCTATTAACCGACAACGGCACCGAGTTTTTAAACAAAGATTTAAAGTCGTTCACCGAAAAATATCGTATCGAACACGCTACCATTCCGCCGTACCACCCGCAGGCTAATCCCGTTGAGAGAGTTAATCGCGTTGTCAAAACTATGATTACTGCCTTTATCGGCAACGACCACCGTGAGTGGGACGTACACCTGTCAGAATTTCGTTTCGCTTACAACACAGCCTTCCATACGTCACTACAAACCACCCCTGCGTATCTAAATTTTGGCCGAGAGCCGCAGCCAGTTAACACGTATCGTGTCAATCACGAGACGCCCGTGGAAATCGAGGACTCCAGCCGAGAATCTTGGAAAGCTCGCGTGGAAAAGTTGAAAACCTTGCGCGATTGGATCCGCGAGAATCTTGAGGAAGCGCATAACAAGCAGGCTCATTATTATAATTTGCATCATAGGGATAAAGTTTATTCGGTTGGTGATCGCGTCTTCAAACGACATCATGTATTGTCGTCCGTGGCTCATCATATAGCCGCCAAGCTTTCGCCGAAGTATCACGGTCCCTTCACCATTGGTAGAGTTTTGTCGCCCGTTACCTACGAGCTCATCGATGACGCGGGCCGATCGCTCGGGAAGATCCATGTGAAAGATCTCAAACCCCACGTGCCATAATCCTTCATGGTGTCCTGTTCCGCCTCCTTCCAGCAGAGGGGACGAGCTTCCCAGAGGGACCGCTCGTTCCCCCCGACAGCAATTCTTTCTCCGGTACCGAACTCTGTGGGTGTGGATCGGTCACACCTACGGGCGGAGCTTCTGGACGGATCTGGAGGATCTGGTGATCTGGGAGAGAGCGGCCCACTTCACGACGACGGGTGCCGTAGTGAGGGATCCACCGGCCACGGAGGATGTGGCCGTGCAGGCGAGCGCCTCGAGAAGGCACGTTGGCCTTCAGGCGCGAGGCCCGGTTCGGCACGTCAACACTCAGATGAGGCCGAGGACCAGGGACCAGGGTACCCAGACGGAAGGGGACCAGGAGGCCTACCCGAGGCACGGACGCGGAGACGGCGGGAGCGGGCTACCCGCCTCCCCGAGGATGCCGTTCGTCAGCAGAAGCGCGCATCTACCACCTGAAGCTCACAATCGATGCTGGGGTTGTGGCTCCAGTAGCCACCGAGCCCGACAGTGCCCTGAGCGAGGCTCGAACCCGGTGTGCTACCGTTGCGGCCGGATGGGGGTGTCGGTCCGCACCTGCCCCCGCTGCGCCGAATCCTGGTGGCGCCCTAACCAAGGGCGTGGAGGTCGAGGAGCCCCGTCCTCGCTCAAAAAGCCGTAGGGGCTGTCGTGGGCCATACACGGGGACCCGAGACTTCCGTCTTCTTCTCTCTCCTCCCCCCCGTTACTCGGGACCTCTTGTTTCTTTTCGTTATGGCTGTATCGCGCACAGGACGCGTAATCGAGGCGAAGGTATCGTGCCGTAGGCACGTTCCGAGGTCCCGGTGGCGGGTTTGATCAAGAGCGTGACCCGATGTTATTCTTTTTTTCTCGTACCGCTCGCGTCTGAAATACGTATATTTTTTTTTGTTGTTTTGTCGACCCAAGAATTTTTTTTTGTTTTGCGGATTTCCGAAAAGGGGAGAGACTAAACACGGTTCGTCTCGTGACATTAAAGGACCAGATTCTTCTTTGTACTGTGTCTGTTTTTCTTTTCCCTTCCTCTTTAGCAATACTCCTTGAATTGCTGCTAATCTTTTCCCGTTCCGTTGGGGTGGCTGCACTGTATTTAGTATTGCTGCTTATGATACTTTTCTTTGCTTGTTTTGGTTGCTGTCTATTTTTGTTGGTTGAGGACTATATTTCGTTTGCCACGATTGCGCCCAGTGAGGAGGATTTTGGCCGCTCGACCCGCTAGGCCGTCTGACTTGCGTGGCTGCAGGAAAACGGGCCCTGCACGGTCCGTCCTGGCAGAGGGGAGTTTGTGACGTGGTATTCGCGGCGCTCTTTCCCCCGTCACAAAAGTTAAGAGATTTCGCGGGAGCCCGGGAAAACGAGCTGAAAANCGAGCGCCAAGATCCTCCAGGGCTTGCATGCATCCGCTTAGAATAGTCTTTTATTTTTATTTTTGTATTTTATGTAATTGCGGCGCTTCACCGTCACGAAAACATCGAGGGACTTTTCGTCAAGGACAACGGCGGTACCCGTACGAGAAAGAGAGAGGGAGCAGAACTGAGGCGCGAAGTCTCACTTCCCGATCACGTGGAGAGCCAGGGTAGGTGACGGCAGACAGAGGCCACAGCGGAACCTCGGCGCTTTAGCCTAGCGGAACGGGCAGAACGGCGGAACGAACATCAACGAGCCTGCCTACGCTGAGACGTGCAGTGTTCCTGCCATCTTGCTGCAGGGTTTCAAGGACCCGCTGCTTATCTTATTGCTGCATCTCTGGGATTGCTATCCCGCCCAGCTGCTTGCTGCTTTACTTCTGCTGCTGCAAACTAGTTATAAGCACTGCGAGCGTTCAAATTTCGCGGCCCGCTGATCCTGCCGCCTGCGAGCGA